GGGGCACTTTCCCCTGCTGGGCCCTCCCCTTTTTCCCTTCCTTGGGAAATGTGTCCTTTCCCCGACCTTTTTTTGCCATTTTTTATTCCGAGGTAGGTGTACGGTTCCACTACTCCATTTTCCTGGTTCCCCCCTTTCCTTTTTTTTTTTCCTGTTTCCTCCCGGCCCCTTTGCCATCCCAGGACGCCATTTTTTTTAACTTTGGCAACCATTCCCCTTTTTTCAATAAATTTTTTCCCCCCTCCATTTTTTATTTCCATTCCCCCAGGGGTTTCCAACATCCCAAAAAAATCTTTCCCAACCACCTTCCCTCCCCCCAAATTTTCCTTTTCCCCTTTTTTTTCTCCCTTCCGGCCTCCTTTTACATTTTCCAACAATTCTTTGAGGACCCCCGGAAACAATTTCGGGGAAGGGGGCCACCTTTGTGGGCCCCCCTCCTCAATTTGAAAAATTTTAACCATTTTCCCTTTTACCATCCCCCCAAGGGGGGGGGGGGGGGGGGGTCACTACAAAAGGCGGTTATATCCTGAGCGAAAGTCACGACGAAGAATAAATCGGAGAGCAGTTGCGGTCGGTCGGCACACAAAATTGTCTTACGTGCCACCACACAACCACTTCCGAACCTCCCCCCCAAGCACCATTCACACGAAGCACCGACGGCTTCGCTTCAAGTCAACCACAGAACCTTGGTGTTTCGATACACCATCAGACACCACTTATCAAGGAGATTGGTTTGAGCACCATACCATACAACACCTACCATCAAGCAGGTTGATTGAGCACCGCACCATACTACCCAACAACTACCACACTGAGCCTTTCCATAATGCCCACCGCCACCAACAGCAGCACGCCTTGCCGCGCCCTACCTGATAGGAGCAGGGCCCGCCGCCGCCGCCGCCGCCGCGCGCGAGACCGCGCCGTTGGCACCCAGGGGCCGAAGCTGTGGAGCCGGCGGGGACGGACGAAGCGACTCCGTTATGCTTGCCAGGTTGCGGATGAAGAAGCTCCAGCCGCACTCAGCGCGCTCCATCAGGCCGTGGACCTGCTCCGGTGTCGTGAGTGCGGCCCCACCCTACGTGCAACGAAAGCACCAGTGGCGGTAGCAGCAGCACAAGAGGATGGAGGGGGTTAGCTCTGCCGCAGCAAGGCACGGAACACAGCAGCGTTTCTTCTTCATCTACAACAGGTTACGTGCCAGTGTTTCCGCGGCAACAGCAGTCCCCAAGGCACTTCCGGATGTGGTTTGTAGCCCGACAACATTCGTGCTAACTATTGCAGCAGAGGCTGTAACATACTACAGCCGCCGGGTTGTGGCAGCAGCAGCCAGCACACACAAGAGGGAAACCATCCACGAGACGAATTTCTTCCAGAGAAATACCCGTGAAAAAAGTGCAATCGCCCTCCATCTACAAGTGTCCAGAGATAATTGACGGAAAATAATCCACATTCCATTTTTTCTTCCCGGGAAACCCGCGAAAACGTCCCCTTAAACCTAAGAACAGGACGCCCCTCCCCTTTCGTCCTCCCCTCCCCTCTCCTACAGAACAAATGCTCACCAGAAAGCACAGCAGCGGACCGAGAGTATCTCTGTGCTCGACTGGCGTCGCCATCGCCGAGAAGAACGTCGGCAGGGATTCGTCGTCGCGCTCCAGCCACAGTCTCTGCGATTACAGCATAAGCGCGAAGCGACACGGCGGTTTCGCCCGAAATCGAAAAAAAAAATGCAAAAACAAGCAGGAGTTGTACGGGTTTAGAAGGACCCCTGGGAAGTTATCTAGAGGGGAGCGTATGATGATGCAGAAGAGCAACCAGTTTGCGTATGGAGAGAGGCAGCAGGGCGTAGAGAGACAAAAGACAAGTATGACAAGGGGGTTCACATGTGGAGGAAGCAATAGGGCGCACAGAAGCAAAGCGAACGTAGAAAAATAAGCACAGCTGGGGTTGCACATGGAGAGTCGGGTGGAGAGAACCGCGGGGGGGTCGAGAAAAAAAGACAAGCATGGCACGAGGGTTGGAGTTGGGGGGAACGGAAAGTACGTCCATAACGGCAGCAGGGGGGGGATCTCGAATACACGGGGGTTGAAAGTAGAGAGAGCGGAGAGAGGAGAACATCTCGTTCATGGGTCGAAATTCTGACATGGCGCGACACCAACCGGTCGCTGCGAGACGCGGTCGATTTTGGGAGGACAGACAAGACACGAAGCCTCCAGCCCCAAGCAACAGCAACACGCCCCCACAGAGGCGTTTCCAAAATTATCACCAAGAGAAAGAAAGAGAAAGACATCAGAGAGAGGGCGACAGAGAGCGGGCGACAGAGAGAGAGAGAGAGAGAGCAAGCGAGAGAGAACCACACGCACAACAAGCGGCGGGGGCACACGCAGACATCACCTTTCTATCTACCTACCTACCTACCTACGTACCTTATCGGCGAACTCGGGGTGCGCCTCCGAGAGCTGCCCCGTCCAGAAGATGAGGTCCTCCAGCGTGTCCTCCTTCCTCAGCTGCGACAACAACTCGGGAGCGACCCCGGGACCCCCGGCGTTGACGCTGTGGTTCCAGTTCGCCCGCAGGTGGTCCAGCTGCTCCTTGAACCGGTACGGGAAGCGGCAGTTCCTCTTCGCGTCGAGAAGGATGCCGACATAGGTCGCCGCCAGGCCGGACAGCGCTTCGAGGTAGAACGGTCTTGGGGCCTGTGGAGCATGAAGCGTTGACAATCAAAGGTCGGAGGTCGTGGGGGCATTCAATTGATCTCGGGTGTGGTAGGAGCCGGGGGGGGGGATCACCGCTCATCAAACCTGCGCCTGGTGGGCGGGCCAGAGCACCGGTCTGCTAGAGAAAGGTGGGTTCAACGCTTCCTAGCGCTCCCCGTCGCGTGCCAAGAAACAAGCGGTGTGCGCAAGCACCCGAATCCAGCCACTCCCGTCACCCGCCCCAACCCTTCGAAACAATCCTAGAAGACGTTGGTCGTTCGAACGACAGAGTCCAAAGGCGGGCAACCCCCCCCCCCTCCCCCCTCCCTCGAGAGAAGGATAACCGTAGTCGCGACCAAGACAGACAACAAACGAGCGATCCCCACCCACCCCCTTTTTCGTATTCCACCCCCCCCCCCCC